TAAATGTATTTGCTTGCGCAATATAATGACTTGATTATTTTACTTAGTGTTTTCTTGCGATACAATAACATATTTATGACTTGACTAATAACGAGTATAAGAAATTAATACACAGTTAAAAAAATTTTTTCTCTTGTTACTATGTATTTTAAAAGTCAGCTCTGTACTTTTTAAACCGAAAATTTGGTATCCAAATGTTGAACCTAATTTAAGTTCAATTCTGGTTATTGAATCTAAAATTTGGATCAAATGAAGCTAGAGCTGGACATTCTTAAAATTTAGTAGTGTAAGGCTTGAAAGGCTTCCACCTTGCTCTCTCAGCTTTAGCCAATTCATTTTCTTTTATTGGCGTACACTCATTTTCTAGAAAACTATTTTCTCAACATATCATTTATTCGACATCACAAAGGTTTTTTATTAGTTGTTGATATATGCAGTATTAGTAAATTTTCATCTAGTATGATGTCGAATAAATCCCGAATAAATGACATATTGAGAAATAGTTTTCAAGAAAATAAGACATAACTCTTCTTATTATATGTACATAATAATTTTAACAAATAATGAAATTGTGAAGTTAATTAAATTATTTAAAATGATGGAATTAATTTATTTATTAGTCTACAAAAATAATAAATAAATAAATAATCGTAGTTTTTTTTGATTATAAAAACCTTCATTTTCTTGCTTGTAAAATTGTCTTTTTCTGACTATTGAAAAATGAAAAAAATGAAAGAGATGTGTGAAGTTATACCATCGAATAAAGGAGGTGATAAAATCAATGTTCATGGTTTTCTAATGACTAAAGAAAGTTGTCGCAATCATATCTATTACTGGTGTTGCGATCAAAGAAAATCTGAGGATAAAAGTTGTCTAGGTCATGCTATTACATACTTATATAATAATACACATTACCTTCAAAAAGCCTCTGAACATAATCATGCACCAGAATTATATAAAGCTGAGGTTGCAAAGGTTAAAAACCAAATTAAAAAGCAAGCCAAAGAAACGAGAGACAAACCTATAAAAATTGTTCAAGACAATGTTATTAATACATTAGAAGAATTTCGGCCTTATCTTTCATCATTAAATACTCTGCGCAAGACAATTAATCATGTTCGACAAGTAGAATCATCACCTCAACCGCAAAGTATTGTTGAATTAAATATGCCAGAATCACTTTAAGTGGTAACTTGTTTTTAATTAAAGATCAAATTATTAGTGATGATGAACGAATGCTTGTTTTTACTACAACTGAAAATATTAAGTACTTATCTCGAGCAGTATACTGGATTATGGATGGC